TGCCGGGAGTGACTAGAAATACCGGTCACAAGCTGGCAGGGGGGAGATTCAGACTAGACATCAGGAGGCGCGACTTCGCTGTCAGGGCGGCTAGGATCTGCAACCAACTTCCAAGAGAAGTGGTGCTGACTCCTACCCTGGGGGGCTTCAAAAGGAGACTAGACAGACACCTAGCCGGGGTCGTTTGACCCCAGTACTTTTTCCTGCCACAGCAGGGGGTCGGACTGGATGATGTGCTCAGGTCCCCTCCAACCCGACCTACTATGAAACTATAGTAAGAACTTCTTCACTGTCCGAGCCCCCAAGGTCTGGAATAGACTGCTGCCGGAGGCGGTTCAAGCACCTACTTCGAACGCCTTCAAGACACATTTGGATGTTTATCTTGCTGGGATCCTACGAACCCAGCTGACTTCCTGCCCCTGGAGCAGGAGGCTGGACTTGATGATCCTTCGGGGTCCCTTCCAGCCCGAATGTCTATGAAATCTATAAAATCTAGGAATAGCTGATACATCTGATCTAGCAGCTCTCTGATATGGCCTTCACATATTTCTCCTTGCAGCCTTTTGCTCCCTTTATCTGTTCTCTATAATTACAATCATAGACAATGAGGGAGCTCAGGAGGTCGCATCTAGCCGAACCCCTGCTCCAAGCAGGACCAGCCCCAACTGCATCATCTCCTCGTAGGGCCTGCCCTGCTGCCCCAATCATGCGGGTGACCTCCTCTGGCCCCTCTCCACGCTGGCCACATCCCTCCCTGAAGTGCGGCGCCCAGACCTGGACGCAGTACTCCAGCTGCGGCCTGACCAGTGTCGCGTAGAGGGGGAGGATCATCTCCTTGGACCTGCTCGAGATGCATCTGTGGATGCACGACAAGGTGCGGCTGGCCTTCCTAACCGTGTCCCCACACTGCCGGCCCATGTTCATTTTGGCATCAATAATGACCCCAAGATCCTGTTCTGCCTCTGCACTGACGAGAAGGGAGGTCCCCAGCCTGTAGGTCTGCTGCTGGCTCTTCCTCCCCAGGTGCAGCACCTTGCACTTGTCAGTGTTGAACCCATCCTGTTCTCATCCGCCCACCCCTGCAACCTATCCAGGTCTGACTGCAGCCTGTCCCTCCCGTCTAGCGTGCCCACTTCCCCCCACATCTTAGTGTCGTCTGCAAATTTGAACAGGATGCATTTTACCCCCTCGTCCAAGCCGCTGATGAAGATGTTGAACAGCGCGGGCCCGAGGACCGAGCCCTGGGGGACCCCACTGCCCACAGCCCTCCAGGTCGAATAAGACCCGTCCACCACCACTCTCTGGGTGCGGCCCTCCAGACAGGTAGCGACCCATCTGACCGTGTAGGTGTCGACACCACTGTCTCCTAGTTTCTTACACCAAGTCTCTAAAGCAGCTGCGAACACTCTCGTGCATGTTGGTATTTAAACTCCTTTGCTTCCCAATCATCTCGGAGGCTCTGCTCCTCACCCAGCCCGTGGCACAGATACTTAGCTGGCCTGGACTTTAGGGTCCAGGCCAGCAGCTCTTAGCACAACCTATTGACCCCGGGTTGCATTCAGTGGCCCCAGAGGCTGGACATACACCCAGCGAGACAGCCCTAGCCCCCAGGAGCTCACAGTCCCTCTAATGCCTGGGGGAGGCAGTGACCCAGGGGAGACAGTCCCCCAGGTGAGACCCCAGGACCTGCCCAGCTTGAGATCCCCATGCTGGGCCCTGCCGTGGGCTGGGCTGGGCTGGGAGGTGGGGGGGTTGGGTCTTGTGGGTGCCCCAAGCTCATCTGCAGGCTCCGTGGGGCTGAGCCCCATCCCCTAGATGCAGGCCTGGGGATGCCACAGTGACCGTCCTGCTCTCTCCCACATATCCATGGCTACCTCTGGCTCACGTGGGGCCAGCGGCAAGAGGGACGGGGCCGTTGCCCACCCCAGGGCCCTGGAGAGGGGCCGGCACTGGCACCATCAATAGTGAGAGGCTAATGAATTGGACGGGAGCCGCGGGGCCGTGTTTCGCACCCGGCGAAGTTCCAAGAACTTCCAGCCTCGTCGCCCTAATTGGCCTCATAAATTCGAGGAAAGAGAGAAATCAGCAGAGCCGCGGGGGGCAGGGGGGTGGCCTTATTTAATGTTATTGCACAGATCCATCTTCCCCCCCCAGCTTCTCCTAATCATGATAAATTCATATTCATTTCCCCGCCTGCTCAGTGGGGGGAGAGTTCGGGGGGGCAGAGCCGCTCTCACAGGCCCCGGCCCTGCCAGCAAAAACTTCCCCTGACGAGGGAGGCCAAGACTGGCGCACAGCTGAGGGTACCCCCTCCCCTGAGGCGGGCCAGGTAGGGCTGTGGGTCAGGAGCGAGGGGCACCGGCAGGGCTGGGGGTTGCCCTAGCAGAGCCCTCCTTGCACCCGCTCCAGATCCATCCTGGGCTGCGCTGACATTTGCTTTGCTTTTAATTTTCAGGCCCATCAGGCTCCCAGCCGGGGGCACTTCCGCTCCGCCCAACCCTCCCCAGGAGCCCAGAGCTGCCGCATTAGCTGTGTGATGCCCCCATCGCTCACCCTGCGCCGTGCGCCACCCCCCAGCGCGGCTCATGGGCTCCCTGGTACCCCTCACTCCCAGCCTGCAGCCCCCTTCCACCGAGGACTGAGCGCCAGCCCAGCGCCCACCCCTTGCCTGGGGCTGCTGGATTGGCGATGGGCACCCCCCCTCCCCCCAGCCAGGCACAGGGTAACTCCAAGCCAGGGGCCTGGCAGGGCAGGCCCGTGGTCAAACCGAGGTGCCAGCTATGGACACCCCCACCCTGCTCCACCCACAGCCCCAGGTTCTCACCGCGGGGCCGATGGGCTGAGGATCTGCCAGGGGCCGGGAACAGCCAGAAGTCACTGGAGGCCGCGGGTGCAGGAAAGGGTCGGGTCTCCGGTCACCACCATCTCCAGCGCTGCCGGGAGGAGGCGATGGGGGAGAAAAGAGTTGATGAACAAGGTGACCAGGCAGAGGAGGAAGGGACCAAGGTGCTGGATGGCTGCAGCTCAGGGGACCCACGCAAGGGCAGGTCAAGGCCACGGAGGTATCACCAGGCAGAAGGATTTGCAGATGCTGGGGAGGGTTCAACGCGGGTGGGTTTATTGCACTCCCAGGGGCACTGGGGCAGAGAAGGGCCCATTGGGGACCGTCCGCGAGCAGCAGATGCCGGGCCCCAGCTCGGAGACAGCAGCAGTGCCGGGGGCATGAGGCGGCACAGCAGGGTGAGAGCTCCAGCACCCAGGGAGGGCTCTTGAAAGTCCCCAGGCATATCCGATCCCCTCCTGAGAGAAGACAGGGAGTCCCCAGGGCCTGGGGGAGGAAGGGGATGTAACCCTCGCCCAGGGGGCTGGGCTATTCAGTACAAGCAGCACATTCATAGATTCATATTCATAGATGTTAGGGTCGGAAGGGACCTCAATAGATCATCGAGTCCGACCCCCTGCATAGGCAGGAAAGAGT